TTGATTACGTTCACATTATCACATATTCACTAAATATTAGGCCATACCTAGGCCTATCCAAGTCTATGGACAGTGTGTCAATATAAAGATGTGTTCATTGATAAGTCCCTATTTTGCCCATCCTTCCTCCCCTGGTCCTCATTCTCATTCAATATTAATAGTGACTGAAAGGCAAAACTAATGAACACGTGAGAAACGATTGTGAGTGTCCGAGATCCTGTCGACCACCTGTTGCTTGTCATATTTTTTTCTTGTTTTCACCAACTTTATTTCATTAATCCATTGAAAAGGGTGTTCATCAGGATATTTTAATTTGAAAAAGTATATAATTTATTTACATAATTATTTTCAATCTTTTAAACTTGGGTTGGTAACTTCTGACCAATTTCCAATTAGAGATCTTAGACCCATCATTTTACATCCATTTTGATTAGTCCATCTACGGTTTACATTTAAATCAACTTTAATTTATTTCTTAGGATGTAATCATCTCTTGCTTGACTCCATGCTTACTTTCTTTTTTCTTACCACCTATTTAATATTGACCCGTAATTGAAGGCATTCAAAGCTCTCATATATTTATATACTGTGTTGATATTTCATTAAAAAAATAAAATAATTTGTAATATCTAAATCTTATTGATATAATGTTTTAACTAAAAATAATTTATTGATTTTATTTAAATATTTCATATGAAAATATTTAGTTCATTGAATGCAATAATACACTCTTCCTCATTCAAATAATTATACAGTTAATTTTTTCAACCCACTCACATGGGATTAGTCTAATGTTGACTCAAATTCAAATTACCTTTGAATTGCTTAATCATCTTCCCTGTGTTATTCTTCTTAATTGAATCCTCTAATGTAATAATGGTAATGGTAGTTGAGTTGAACCGTCTACCTAATAATATTTTATAAAACATAATAAAAATTAAATATAAGTATTGTTTCATCTTTATCCACTCATCTCATTCTTGTTTAAAAAATTAATTAATCAATAGTTCAGTACAATTATCGTCTCCATGTAAGTTAAGTTGGTGATAATTCAACTAGGTGACGCAATCTAGGTGACGTAAGAAATAAAAGCCCACCGTTCAAATACAATTTAAGTGATTTAAATGGACGATTCATATTAGTCAATTACAAAGTTGGGACCATTTATATAGTCGTTGGATTATTTTGGGATAATTATAAGTTAGAGGTGTGTCATCAGAGACGAGGACGAACAGGGACCATGAACATTTAATACCCTTTCAATGTTCCATAAATCCACAAACCATAATACACGTAGCTTTTTTTTTTTTTTAAAATATTATTACTATTATTAAAAATTATAATAAAGAAATACTAATTAATAGAAATCTTATGCGTTGAGTGAACTTTATTACTTCATAAAGTGATTGAAGATGAATCATTTGAGAAGTTTTTTAATGAAAACAATTCATGTATAGCATGCGGAATTCCATAAAAAGCTAAAAAGTTTGTTTCTTTCGAACAATAATGCCATGTTGAGGTGGAAGATAGTCCTCTCCTGTAAATTTATCACCGACCTTTTTTTTTTTTTTTTGGCATGAATTTTACAAACACTTTAACTAATCTCTCGGGATCTTAGAATTATTAATCAGATAAGAGTTTTAGTAGCTATCTCTATTAAGGGTCGTGAAAACTCGAATGTGAGAGATCATGTTAGATCCTCCTTTACTTTTTTATCATTAGGTTATCTTATTAATCTTCCTTCATCCTATACTCAATGGATTGATTATTTGAGAAAAAAAAAAAAAAAATTTGTGCTTTTCCAATGCTAATGATGTGTCAAAAATATTATCTCTTCAATCTTTTATACGTATCTATTTGATATTGTTTTCTAAAATTTAAAAACAACTGTTAAAAAAATAAGAAATTTTATTTTGAAATTGATATTTCAAAAATATTATCTCTTCAATCTTTTATATGAATCTATTCGATATTTTGAAATTTTTATGGCTTAATATTTCATGTACCTTGTGAGATAAATTTAATTTAACACATATCCAAGCTTTTCGAAAATCATAAATGATATTTATAAATAGTTAAAATAAATAGTTTTCATAAAACAGTGAATAAATATACTACAAATAAAATTTTATCGATCTGACAGGCTGTATTTTGGTGTAAAAAAATGTTAGCCTTATTCATTTCTTTTATTCATTTTTTTTACTCATTTTTTTTAAAATGATATATAGTATCTGTACTATATTTATAATACTCATACTATGTTTTATATTTATAAAAATGAATAAGAGAAGTTAATAAGAGTAACATTAGTTTCGGTGTCTCATCTATCGTCTCTTTCAAAGTTTAACGGCAAAACACAAAGAAAGTTTTGACTTGTCTGTAAGTAGTATAAATATCTTCTTCAAACAAAAGAGCAAGTGTGCGATTACTATACACTAATCTATATATTAATTTTTATTCTCTGTTGAAACGACAAAAGTTGAAAATTAGTATTATTTTGACAGATGTAAACGATATGTTCACACATACTATAAAATAAAATAAGATAAGCCATGTTATATCTCAAAACATTTATAAACAATTAAACGTAACATTGACTGATACATGTGAACCACAATATTTATAATACTGTCAACTAAGTTATCTATCCATACGTCTGAACGTCAATTTTCAAACTTCTTTTAAGTTTATCATCTAAATCAGAAGAAATCTTAACGTCAATTTACAACACATCTGTCACTTTTTATTTCCTATCTCTTCTCATATCATCAACATCAATAATATATATTTTTAATGCATATTTAATAATCTAAACTTCCAAGCCCTAATCTCCATATGGTCTTCCATGTGAAAAATAAGTCTTCTTTCTATATGTTTCTTTACAATGTACTCTACATTTGATTTGAAAATCTTTTTGAAGGTCTGTTACTTATTATTTAATCATTACTCGATTGCTAGGACAACCGCATGAATCTTCCAGTTATTAATAACATAATAGACAATAAATTTTAATAATTTGAACGGTTTGGACGGAGTTAATATTAGATAACAGGATAATACTTTTCAAAATCGAGTAGATGACGATGTTTGGTTGGTTTGTAAAAAATTATTTCCGTAATATTTTATGACAAACAGTGACATTTGGGGGTAAATAGTTGGGAATCGTCATACCCTTTTTTTTTTTTTGGGGGGGGGGGTGTTTGCTATTATTAAAAGTTACCCAAGTAATTTGATTTTGTTTCCCATATTGCCCCTAAACAGTTGAGCATTTGGTTTAAATTAACTTTATATTTGTTAAGATTTACAAAACACTCAATTCACTCGTGCAGACTCTTTTGTCTTCACTTTTTAAATTTTTCAAACAACATTGCCCTTGTTATTGTCATTATTTACAAAAATGTCATTGTACACAGAACTAGTCACCATAGGCAGCCATCGTAGACCGCCATCGAAGGCTGCCAAAAGTTGCCATAATGGCGTAGGACCGACCGTATATGGCGGTCGTGTGCCGGTGAAGCCTTTTTCGACTATGGATCACAAGATCTGGTTGTTTCACGGCCAAAGACCTAACCATTTCACGGCCAGATTTGCGGTTGTGAAACGACCATAGCCAGATCTATGACATTGTTGGCGTCACAGTTAGATCTGTGGTACTGTTGGCGGCCACCGACCGTGGTGGCTCGTTGCCATCAATGGCTTGGGGTGTGGTCGCCTATATTATTAAAACTTGCCCAAGTAATCTGATTTTGTTTCCCATATTGCCCCCAAACAGTTGAGCATTTGGTCCAAATTAGCCTTATATTTGTTAAGATTTACAAAACACCCAATTCACTCGTGTAGACCCTTTTGTCCTCATTTTTAAAATTTTTAAAACAACATAACCCTTGTTATTGTCATTATTTACAAAAATGTCATTGTACACAGAATAGTCACCATAGGCAGCCACCGTGGACCGCCATCGAAGGCTGCCAAAAGTCGCCATAATGACGTATGACCAACCGTATATGGCCGGCTATGCGTCGGTGAAGCCTTTTTCGACCATGGATCACAAGATCTGACTGTTTCACGACCAAATCTATGACCATTTAACGGTCAAAGACCTAACCATTTCACGGCCAGATCTATGGCTGTGAAACGGCCATAGCCAGATCTATGGCATTGTTGGCATCACGACCAGATCTGTGGCATTTTCGATAGATGCTAATCGTGGTGGCTGGTTGCCAGCAATGGCTTGGGGTGGATAAAAGTGTTTTTGTTAAGTTTAAAAGGTTTTTAGTTGCTAGGGTTTTTTTGCTAAATCTGAAAAGTAGAGGGTTAAAAAATATTATTAAAAAAAAAACGATTATATTAATATTTAAAACGGAAGACAATTTAGTAATTTATATAACATACTTACCCATTTATCCTCTTAACCAAACATATTATATTCATCAATTTATTCGAACCAATCAAACACATTTTTCTTTAGAGCGATTTTTTATTCTGTTAATATAATCTCCCTTATAACAAAACATTATATAATCCAAAGATCCTCTTTTTACTTATAAACTTTACCTTCAATACAGTACAAAATATTACATATATTATGTTACTGATATTTATATTTATTTGCATGTCAAGGGAGGGTTAAAAAAAGAGATGAAATCTGGAAACAGATCCAGTCCAAACAAAATATCAAAGCAACAAAAACCAAAAAAAAACTTATTTATAAATATTATTTATTTGTATAACTATAGGTATAGCCTACTTGACTGTGACCCAAAACGAAAAAGTCGTTTTCTTAAATTAGGGAAAAAAAATTCAAAATTAATAATGATATACTACCACGCAAGCGGCAAATCACCATAAGCAGTGTATATATATATATATATAGCTATATCTGCATCTCCCTCCATGCTCTACCATTCAACGCACTCTTCTCCTTCTTCTTCTTCAAAAAGCTACACATTCACTTACTCAAATTAGCTCTCTGCCTTTGTCTGCAACTCACAAACCAAACCATGACGGACCCATCACTTTTAACTTCCATAACCAGCTGGTTCACACCTCCCACTCTCTTTCTCTTCGTCAATCTCGTCATCGGAACCATTGCGGTCATCTCTCGTTTCAATTCTTTCAGGAAACCGCAAAGTAATCAGCAGCACCAACTCGGTCCCTACGACTCACCCCCACTCGCCCGAGCTCCCTCCCTAATTGAAAGAGTTAAGTCCATCAACTTCTCTCTCTATAAGTTCCCTAACCCGGAAGAAGAACAGCCATCCTTTGTTCAACCCACGTCTGAGCATCTATATAACTCATACCCAGTAGACCCGAACCCGCCCCAGCTCGCCCGAGCTCCCTCCCTGCTTGAACGGGTCAAGTCCAACCTTTTCTCCTACAAGTTACCTAACCCAGAAGAAGAACAACCACCCTTCGTTCAACCCACTGAGCCTCTAAATGACACGTACCTGGTCGACCCGAACCCGCCCGGGATCACCCGAGCTCCATCTCTCTTGGAACGAGTCAAGTCTATCAAGTTTCCCTCTGTTTACGGATCCCAACAATCATATCCAGAAACAGAAACCAAGGTTATTCACAACTCCGAAACCGAGGTGCCATCGGACCCGGATTATAAGCCGAAGAGGAGTAAATCGGAGACGAAAAAGTCCAAGCAGAGGAGTGTACAGGAGAAGAACTTGAAGAAGTCGGTGAGCGAGAAGTTAATGAAGGTAGAAACGGAGAATGATGAGACGGAGACGTTGGAGCAAAGGAGGCCACAAACGGCGAGGCTTGACAGAACGGAGACGATTGGCGACGATGACCAGGGCGTTGATGCAAAAGCCGATGACTTTATCAACAATTTCAGGCGCCAACTGAAGTTACAGAGACTTGATTCTCTCTTGCGTTACAAAGAAATGCTCAAGGGAAACTGAGAAGTTCTTTAAAAAAAAAAAAAAAGTAAAATTCACCTTTTGTTTTTGACTTTTCTTCAAAGTTCATGTAAAGATGTGTTTATTGGTTTGATGGTGTTCACTGTTCACCGTTCAGGCTAATTATTGCACTCTCGTGGCTAGTCTTCACTTTTTAGCCTGTTTAGCACAAGCATGAAGACAAATGGAGGGGTGTTTCAGTAAATTTGTGGTGGCTTCTGGTGTAGCGATTTAGCATTTATCAATGGCGAATGACGGTGGCCAGTGTCACGAACATAGAGGAACAGTGCGGATGTGACAGCGGTGACGGGAAGAAGAGAGGTCGTACTGGACTACTGGTTAGAGTTGTGCATTAAGATTGTATGACCTAAATAGCCTTTGTTTTTTTAATTTAGTGGATAAAGGATGGGCGTTTCTGTCATTTCGTTTCTCTTTTTTCATATAATGGTAAACTAGTAGACTAGTAGTGCTACAAGGATGCAGTATTTAGTATTTTTCTCAATATTTTATTATTAATTTAATAAATAAAAAAGAGTCTCGTTGATATAGTGCTGAAGAAAAATGAATAATCCTTTAACCGTTATTAATTTAATTAAAAAAATTTTTTTTTTTTCATTTTTAATTTCTGGATGATAATTGAATTTTAATATACTTTAGGTAATATATATATATATATATATTTCTGAATCTAAAATATATTTCTGGATGAAAATTGAAGTTAGTATTAACGGTGATTTGTATTAAAATTTATGAGTTACGGTTGGGATTGGTGGTAAATGAGTATTAAAGTTTACTTTTGTTTGCCATGTGGATGTGGGTGGTAGGCAGCTGGTGTTTACACAGAAATGTAAATTGAAACTGAAAGGTAAAAGTAACACTTAAACACTTGTTTCGATTCTCATTCAAATGAACAAGTAGTTATAGTATAACATTACTGCTACCAATTTCTAATTCAGTTGATAATGTTCGCATCATCCCACATGCTTCAGGACTCTTGGCTGATTTTGTATGGCTACTTCCACCATGTGGTGTGAATTTGGGATTACGCAACCACCAAAAGTCGGTATCTCAGAAACGTCGGCTACTAACGGGCTGTATTTGGATTTTTAAATTTGTTGTAATTATTTTGATGTGATGTTTGGTTAATTTGTCAACTAAACCAAAACTTATACAGACCACATTATATTAATCTAATTACGATCAATGTACGAGGTAATGCTGTCACCAAATTTAATCATTCTGTTAGGGCCGTAAGTATAAAGGAAATGCATGTGAAATGTCCCTACCATTAACAAGATGCTCTCTAGTCTCTATGAATTCACCTATACTTGCTATTGGCCTCAGCTGCGACAATTTCAATACAAAAATTATTCAATTTTACGTGCAATGCAAAGTGTAGGGCCATTATCTCTTAAAAATTGCGTGGCTGATAGACATTTGGTGGTCTTTGGTCTCTATCACCATCCAAGGATAAGGCCCTTGTTTACGGCAACGAAATTCTTGCTTCTTCACTCTTCGCCCTTAAATCTCTAAATTATAATGATGCTTTTTTGTGACTTTTAGGCCAATGTTTAAAGTAGATTAAATAGTAATTATCATGTCGTGTTTGTTAGATAAGATTGGATTATTATATCTGTTCACATTTATTCTAGGCGTTCAAACATGACTGCTGATCAATTCATCTAGAATTTTGGTTAATTTTTAAATCAATCCTCTACTTTAATCAAATCAATGTTATTATGTTACACACACAACATATGATCAGTTATGAGACTACCTGTAATTACCTTACCTCAAACGCACCATTATCAAACTGAATAAATAAGCTGGCTAAACTGTCTTATGCTAAAAGACATAAAGCTACTTCATTAAACAAGTGCATTCTTTTGACCTTTTTTTTTTTTTTTTTTTACCAAAAGCACTTAAAAAGTGAAATTTTAGGGCTTTATTTGGAAGGTAAAAGCATGTCATTGTTGAATGTTGAACCAGTAAGTACCTCTCAGCTCTCTCCTCAACTCAATCAGGAAGCAGCTAACTTTAGATACACAGTAACACAAAATTATATGACATGCTTTTACCCTTAAAAGGGTGTTTGGTTTTGGTGTATCTGTCATTACTGGGGCTAAGTGATCTTATATTACTTGACAATCATGTTTGGTTGTCAAATAATATAAGATATTGGTAATCTTCAAATACCAATAGTAATTACTATTGGTAATATTGGAGATAATCTGATTACCTCAATTTTCTTAAGTTTTTTAAGATTACCAGGGTTATTTTTTTTTGTTACAATTTTATCCCCTATTAATAAAAATTTTGGACAATGATACCCCTATTTTAAAAGAAATTTACAATAATATCTTATTTCAATTTTACCCTTGTTTAATTAAAATTTTGGACAATAATGCCCTTATGTTTAAAACAATTTCCAGACCACCACTGCCACCCAGCCACCACCGCCGACAGTGGGCTAACCACCACGGGCCGCTGCCGGAAAGTCGTCGGAGTTCTTAAAAAAGAACCAGATTCGGTGGGAGGCTCAGGGAGGCTTCGGTGTGGCCGTTTCTGGCCATATTAATGGCCGAAAACGGCCATATCAGGCCAGATCTGGTCATGATCTGGCTGGAATAGATCTGGCCGCTAACGGCCAAGTCCATGGCCGTTAACGGCCAGAGCTTGATATGGCAGTTTTCGGCCATCAGTATGGCCAGAAACGGCCATATCGAAGCCTCTTAGTCACTGTGAGCTACTCACGGGGACTTTCGGAGACTTCCGGCGGTGGTTTGCGGTGGAGGCAGGAGGTGGGGGTGATTTCGTCATAAATTAAAGTTTTATATAAACGGGGTTGTTTTAGCTAAATCTGAAATATTGGAGGTTAAAAGAATTATTCAAAAATTAATAATAAAATAATATTATATTAATATTTTTAAAAGGGGCAATTTAGTAATTTAAATAACATACTCACTAATTTATTCCCCATAACCAAACATATTAATATAACATACCCATCAACTAACCAAACACATTTTTCTAAAGATTTCCAGTAATCTTCCAAGGTAATCTATCTTTCCAGTAATCCAACATTCCCACCAAACGCCCCCTTAGAGATAGTGAAATCTATACTATGCTACTCATTACTTCACATATATAACATACTTGTATTCTTAATCAAAAAATCTGAAGTGGTTATTGTTTTCCATCCCCCTTAGACATAGTGAAATCTCAAGATGGATCACGATATTTGAAAAATATTATATACCCTCCTATCGGGTGGTTTTTGATACTTTTTCCATGGATAAATGCTATTAAATGATAATCCGGGAGAGTATAAGTACTTGCAAAAATTGTGGGCTCCTTTTTATATTTCATTGTCTCTTGAGGCGTTGGACTGAATTACTACTCTTTGATACATTTTTATATTAAAAATGCACGTAAATTAAAGAAGTGTCTGGGTGGTGTAGTTGGTTATCACGCTAGTCTCACACACCAGAGGTCCCCGGTTCGAACCCGGGCTCAGACATGTTTTTAAGTTTAAAGTTTGGGCCCTCGTCTGGGCTTAGTACACGAACTGTTTCTAGATCCTCAAATATTTTTTTGGCATTTTCAAGAGATTTAGTGATGTTGCTAAAAGAAATACTAATATTAATATAACCTCTGTTCTTGATTTTGGATACAGATCTCTTTAATTGGTAATATTTATAATTTAAAGGTGTAGAAAGGAAAGATCTTGAATCGAATCTCTTATATCCTTTCAAATTAATTTAAACTTACAAATTATATATTTAAAAACAATTTAGTGAATGAGCATGATTGTAAATTTATTAACAAATTAAAACCAAACACATCAAACAAAAGTTTTTTCTCATATATTATTAAGATAACGAGGATTCCTTAACTCACTAATTGCACAGCTATAAACACAAATAAATTAAAGCTATTGCATGCATCATTCAAAGAAAAAAAAAAAAAAAAGACATAATTATATTGCTATAAATAAAAACTATACTATCAAAGCTGGCGCATCCATCTAAATTATGTTGAAACGCACGAGACACTGATCATGAAGCTTCCTTATAGTTTTATAATTTGATTACAATCTGTTTGTGCAATCGGCTTCTTTAATTAATCGTCCTTATTCTTCATCTGCCTCCAGAGAGGTTGCTTTCCTTTATCTCTGCATGTGTAATCATGTACAATCACACGAGTTATTGCATTTTTATAGCTTAAGGTAGAGGAAATCAATTACAGAAAAAAATAATCAATTAGAAATACTTAGGGTTTCCAGGTTCATTAAAACCAGTGAGAGCTTGCTCATTTTGATATGGGTACTCCATGGTGAGATCAATGCCTTGCAGGTCGAAAGGTTTGACATCTTCACCTTCTTCCATAGTTGACTGGTAATTGTAGATACTAGCTGGCTAAATTGTACGAAACAACCAAAAAAAAAAAAAAAAAAAAAAAAAATTAGAAACAGATAGGTTAATTTATTAAAAGAAATTATACATAAACATGATAAAAGCAAAATGAAAAGTAAGTTATCTGAGATTGAATGCAGTTTAATTACAAGATGAGCAGGCGGGGTTGGAGGCTGCAAATTGAAAGCATCAAAATCGTTCTGAATCTGCTGTGGTGTTAATAATGACGATGACGATGAACCCTTTGTAAAGTGTTCAAACAGCTTTTGTTTCTCTCTTTCACGAAAGAAATTCAGTTGTTGATTAAGAGCATTAAGTTGACTCTGATATAAATCAATCTGAGACTGAAGTTTGCAGACGACACCTACACAGCCATGCACCGGATCATTATGCCTGATATTGCCCTCCATGAGAATTGACTCGGCAGCTGCATGTCTTTGATTTGGCTCAACCGAATTAATGATTTTCTGAATGTTGCTTATACCGAAAAGTTTCTGCGCATGTTGAAACTCTCCATACCGGCTTGCCGGAAAATAAGGAGCCAATTCACAGCTCCCATCGCACTTCTTCCTCTGATGTTTACAGGCCGCACAGGCATTAGGGTTCACTCCTCCAATGTTAATCTCCCTGTTCATTGTTAATTAACGTCTATTCTTCAGTTCAGCCAAAGAAAGGAAAATAGAATTAGAATGAGATAAAAGAGGTTGTATATATATATAGTCTACTTAAACGAGTCACATAATTAATGCTTGATTCTTTAAACGAGATTTCTCGGTATCTTAATTTTAATGAGATTAGATTTTGTGCTAGATTTGAAGTGGAAATACGGCAATGCCAAATACATTTCTAGAAATGACATGAAATTTCAATACTGTCAAGGAAATTAATTAGTAGTTATGCTAAACATTAATGGTGAATATGTACTTCTAGATAATGGAATTGGGAGAGAACCATCGGAGTCGACAGTGATATTAAGGTTTATACAAACTTATTTTCCTAAAATGTAATTGAAGGCAAAGAGGCCGAGGTTTGCCCCATACATGGATTCACTTCAAAATAGAGAATGAATATTTTATTTTAGACAATAAATTAATTATAAGCAACATGAGATTTCAGATAGAAGTATAAAAATAATAATGAAAAAAAAGACATATAATAACCCCCAAAAAGAAACAAGCAAACAAGAAATCAAGTGGGAGACAGGAGACTGCAAATCCTTTCTTACCAACTTGATCAGTAGTTTCAGGATCCTGAGAGATTAGTTGAGGTATATGTAAACTGGTCCGAACACCTCCGGCCATAAAAAAGAAAAATCTTTTTTACCCGGTTCAAATATAGGGTTGCCTGAAAAGACAAAACCGCAACTCTTTTATTTTGCTTTGTTGGTAGAACTCACTGAAATTTTCCCAGCAACTCAAGGAGTAGGAAAAAGACTAGCTATTTAAAATTTAACCTAATCCTGTGTAGGGTTAGGGTAGCTGGGTATATTTTGTGTGTGTCAATGATACTCGTTTTTAACTGATATGATGCTTTAATTTAATATATGATATGGAAGTAAATTAAAGATCAACTCATATTAATTTAAATCTCACACATTTATACTTTTATTTTGTCACTTATAAAACGGATAAAATCATTAAACATCTTTTAGAGATTGTCACGTACATGTGGATGCTAAATTTGGGGTATTTAATTGGCAGAAACCATTGTTTTAAAACCTCGATTGCCTCAGCCGATTGAACCAGTTCAACCAGGACCTAGGGCCTTCACCAAACTGGGTTAGCAATTTTTTTGTTCACCAAAAACCCTAGAAATTGGAACGGTGATCGGTAAACAATTGAAGGCTGGGATGTTGGGACTTTTGAAAAGGAAGGGTTAGTGATTGCAATGGTGGCGATAGAGGTGATTTCTAGTGAGTGAATTGAGCGAAAATCGTAAAACTAAATCGACTGTTACCGCTGATTGGCAAGGCAATCGAGGGAGGGATGATATGGGTTTTGGTCAAGAGGCTAAGGGGCTTGTTTTCGTGGTGATGGGGAGTGTTGTTATTGCCAGATATAGGCATTTGCCTTGGTTTGTCAACCCTCGCGGTGGTGTTTGGGGTGTTTTCACAAGATTTCAAACCTGTAGGGACTTATTATATGTAAGGGTGTTTTGTTATATTTCAAATTTCTGTACACCAGTTTGACTCGCCGGTCAAACAAGTTAAATCGGTCAATCCAAGACTTGACCATTTTGCAGATAAACGACCTTAAAAATGTTTGCTGTAAGGATAATTTGATACCCAAAAAGCTTGAAAATGACAATTACCCACTTTCCGTCCAAATCTTTTAGTAAATTCCGTTAACTAAAATGGTATCATTGATATTCTTTCATCTTTGTAGGGCAATTTTGACTTCTAATGTTTCAGGATTTCTGCATAATTTAAAAAAAAAAAAAAAAATTGCATTAAAAAAACGTAAAAAAAAAAAAAAAAAAATCCGTCCAAATCTCTCTCTCTTATTCTCTTCCTTCTCTTTCTTTCCTTTCTTCTCCCTGTTCTCCCTCCGGTCACTAGGCCAGAACCCGGCATCGAATATGGACTAGAAGCTAGCCAGATCGATAGCCTCTTTGCTCTCTGTCTTCCTGTCTTCATCTTCTTCGTCTCTCTCATAAAAAAGGGGGAAAAAAAGGGTCTTTTTAGGGTTTTGATTTGATTTGGTTTTTTTTTTCTTTCTGTGTTTTCGTCTGTGGGTGTGGTGAATTCAGGGCTAATTTTGGGAGATAACTTGTGGGTTGTTTGGGGCTTGTGGTGGTTTTGAAGAATTTGATGACGGGTTGATGAAGATTAGGGTTTTTTGGGGGATATCTCTAGTGGGTTGGCTTTGGATTGAGGATTTTTTGGAGGATTGGTGGTGGGTTGATTGTTATATATTGGAGTTTTTAGGGTTTAATCTTTGGTGGGCATTGTAAATATTGGTCGGTTTTTGCAGGTTTTTTAAGTGGGTTGGTGATTATTCTAGGTTGTATCAAGGCTAAAGGTAAAAGAATTAAAAAAAAGATTGTATTTTGTTGAGGTTTATCTTTTAAAGGGCTTGAATCTGAACTATATTTTTTGTGTTTGGGCTTGAATTCTGTGTTGTGGTGGGGATTTTGGTTTCTGAGGTTAAGAAAGAGAAGAATGATTGCTAAGGAGGATTGCTCGTGTTCTTCTTTATGATGTTCTCGGTCAAAATTGCATCAAACCGGGTGCGATTTTGTTGGCCGGATGCGATTCTAGGCCACCGTGGTTCTGGCAAGAGATGAAGAAGGAATTTTAATTAAATTTAATTATAAAAATAAAACAATTAAAATTGAGAAGGAAGATTTTTATAAAATTAATATTAAAGAGAGAGAATGGAGATGAATGTTAGATTTTTTGGTTGGATATAAAATTACCATATTTTCCTTTTTAAACGAATTTTACTAACGATTTGGACGAAATGTAGGTAATTATCGTTTTCAAACTTTTTAGGTATCAAATTGTCTTTACGGCAAATTATGGGTGGGTGCATCTTGTTGGCTTATTTAATTAGTCTCTCCCCTCAAGTTTTAAGAAATTAATCAATTATAGTTACCAACATAAACAGATAGACGACTGTTAAAAATATTTAAAAGTCTGTTTTATCCTTATTGTAATATTATTATTAAATATTTAACGTTTACATATATATTAAAAATTATCGACACAAATTACATTTTCCCAATGTTTTAAAACCCAACCCGAGATGAAACCCAGCAACGTTGCCGGGTCTCGGGTTGACCGGTTTGATCATTGTTCAAACTGGCAGACAATTTTTTTTAAAATTTAGCAAATACACTCCTAAAAATTATGTTAAGTCTTTTATAGGTTTTAAATGTAGCAAACAAACCCCAAATACAAATCGACTGGCGACAATACCTCAAATTGAACCCCTATCGTCCCTTGAGTCAATTCCCTTGAAAATCTACCTAAGATCTAGTTGATATCGATTCAATTTAGGACAAATCTCACCAACGTTGTCATTGACAACCCTCCCCAACCCCCCCGAAAATACTCCCCTCTTCCTTCCGACCAAAACCCACCTCACCCAACCCCCGTTAGCCTTGCCAATTGCCGGCAAAAACCCGTTGTTGCCGCTGCCAATGTTTTTCAATTTCCGACCGATTTACTCATAAGAAATCAATTTCGTTGTAACCATTACACTCACCAGCACTTTCCAACATCCCGACTGTAAAACCCCCCTCCAGTCAGGTATCCTCTGAATATCCCTCAATGAGAATCCCGAGGATACATGTCTGGAGAACGAGTTGTATTTAGAAAAAATCTATATAAGGATAATAATAATAATATCCAAAACATGCATATAAAATGTCACACAGGATCCAAACTTATAATTTACAAACTTTAAGAAATTACACAATCAAAACATATTTATAGGGTGGAAGCTTCCAAAGGTATTTCTCAAATATTTATCATTTATATTATTTACATCACGATAAACATCGAGATGACAATAATCATCTCCCCTCACGTGTAGTCCCGCTGTCTCTAGCATCCCTCGCTTCTAGTCTACCTGCAAAGCAATCAACAATGAAAGGGTGAGCGCTAATCGCTCAGTAGGAATGATCTATTTCATTCTGAATGTACTATTTGATCTTTATTTAAACATATCTGTTAACACATCACTTATCTTTACATCTAGGGATACTTCCCCTTTATTACTAAGTCATATGCTTTTCATCATTTTATCCCATGGCTAGATAAACATCAATGTGTACACATACAAATAAGTATGTAAACATAGTACACACACATCACATGTCATGACATAACATCTAAAATCATCTAACATGAGTATAAATCATCTCATGATTAAATAACATCATAACTCATGTAATGCAACTAAATGCATAGAAACATTTAACCTCTAGCCGATCGACTTTTCTTGCATCTTAAGCACTTCATATCATCTAGCCTCAAATTTCATCTAGAGCTCAATCATCAGGAGGCGGCTTACGCGTTATTTACATCTAAAGCATATATTCATCTTTCCTCAACCGTTATACGAGGATATGCTTACGCGTTTTCCATCATGTCTATATGCATCTCTGTCATGTCTATTTGCATCTCTAACCTTATGGCATGTAAATACATATTTTGGTGAGCTTAATACTTTTAATTCATCTATGGATTATCACCCCATTTACATTACCTCTTGCTCACATACATCATCTTAAAACATGTATTACATTGCATCTTCATGCCATTTCATAACATTAATCATGCATTGACATCATGACCATGTATATCTTTCAAAGATCATCTACTAAGGGTAAACATTAGTACATGGCATAATTCCAATAATACATTAATAATCAATTCATATCATAAGAATTGATTTGTTAAATCTTAAACTTTAATAACCATTTTATGCTTCAGGCCATTTTCCATCCTTTTCTCAAACGAATTGGCTCTGCATAAACATAAAAGTTATAGGTCTGTGTCTTAGCTTTCTAATGCTTCAGAATCATCTCATTTCGATTTTTATAACCAAGTTATGTCGAAATACTGAAGCAGGGTTAACAAAACCCCTAAGCTCACTAAATCCGAATTTTCATATTAACTATGCCACAT